TATATATATAAATCACAAATAATTTTGCCTTTGACTGTACATGCAGTTCCTTGTGAATCAATATAAACATTTTCTTCCTGATTTCAATAATTCTGTCAAAAAAGTGGTTTGTTCATATATCAAGCTCATATTTTAAAATAAAGTTTTGTTTTGAGACTTCTTTTCCGATTCATGTTGTTTATATTACATTGTATCTGTAATCTATTTTTCATAAATAAATATTTACAAACTTAGATATTTAGATCTTTGTACATACATTTTTCATAGAAGATCATGGATTTACTGTTCTGTTTAATGTGACTTTGCAATACATTCAGAATAAATATACTTGCTGCTTGTCCAGTTTACTTAATTTAACCCACTTACATCTGTAAAATACTAGTTCTCTTAATCTTTTTACGTGTAATTGATATCTGAAAATGCAGGCTCTTAAAGTATTTACCAGATTGTAAAGTTGCCATTCCTTTTCACAACACCTAAAAGATATTTAGGGACTGCAGACACCAAATGATGAAGTGTTTGGGTGATATTTTGTCTCATTTTTCCTGCAAACAAGTCTAAAACGAGCAACATTACTGGATCGTTGTCATATTTTGCACTTAAAATGCATCACACATTCTCGATTGGAGACAGGTCCGGACTGCAGGCAGGACAGTCCAGTACCTGTATCCTCCTCTAATGCAGCCAGGACTTCGTAATGTGTGTAGAATGTGGTTTTGTCTTGTTGAAATATGCATGGACATCCCGGGAAGAGAAAGCAGCATATCATGCTCCATAATCTCCATGTACTCTTCAGCATTAATAGTATACAGCCCTTATAAGCATCAGCACATGATTATAGTCAGAAAGATTCATGCTTTTTTTTTTTTTTGTTTTGTTGTTTTTATACCAATTTAGGAAACATGTTTCAATAAACATTTAAAGCCAGTCAGTCACTTGTGAAAGGCACCCAAACCAATATATTACTTACACACCTTCTGTACTAGACTTCTATGGGCCCTAAAATAATTTATTAACCATTCCAGTTTATTCTTTACCAAACCCTACTGCTAAACCAAACCATCAATGAGGGATGAGCATTTTGTACTAGATTCAATTAAATTGTAAAACGTACAAACTGTAATTGTACAAAATTCATACAAATTAAACACTGAATCAAAAAGTAAAAAAAAAGCTGTGAGAATGTTTAAGATCTGATGCCATGCAAAGCTCAGTGTAATGAAAAACCCATTAAAAACCTCAATAGAAATGTTTTAATGAAATATATTGATCTGTGAACTTATTTTTGTCAGACAAAGGAGTCATTTAAAGCAGGGGTTCCCAAACTTTTCAGCCCACAACCCCAAAAAATAATGTCAGTGACTCACAACCCCTATTTTTCAAGGTGGTCATACTGTAAATTGACAAATGTCGCACACACAACTATAGACATACATAAACATGAGCATATTGACAACAAACATGCAACAGTCCATCCAACCTATAATGGTTTACATAATCATTTATTAATTTAATTACATTTGAATATAAAAATTAAAGGCTGATGGCTGATTTTTATTTGTATGCTGTTTTAGTTATTTCGGTAACACTTTACAATAAGGTTCATTAGTTAATGCATTTACTAACATGAACTAATCATGAACAACACATGTACAGCATTTATTAATCATAATTGAACATTTACTAATGCATTATTAACTTCCAAGTCCATGCTTGTTAACATTAGTTAATGCACCATGAGTTAACATGAACTAACAATAAACAACTGTATTTTCATTAACTAACATGAACAAATACTGTAGTAAATGTATTGTTCATTGCTTGTTCATGTTAGTAAATGCATTAATTAACATTAACTAATGAACCTTATTGTAAAGTGTGACCGTTATTTCATTAACAACTATTAACTATCTTCTGTGGGTTATGAATAAAATATGGTAATTCAAATGGTTAAATAAGACGTATTTGAGTTCTGGAAATCACCAAGCAACCCCTTGTCATTGTCCCATGACCCCCCGGGGGGTCCTGACCATCACTTTGAGAACCATTGATTTAAAGGAACCGAATCACTGGTTCAAAAAAACAGAGCAAGTTTGTCAACATACAAAAATTTACAGCATTTAAAAATGTCTTCATGCACAACACATTCTCACTCCCAACTCGTCACATACTGACGCTTGGTCAGGAACCCTCGGCGTAAGTTATTGACGCACAGGGTACCCCTTTAGCGTCATATTTAGACGTGCAGGGATTCCCTATAGAATTTGTGCCTGAGCCTGAGGCGTCATAGGGAGACGCTGGAGGCTCGTATAATTACCAATAGATGTCAACGCAATTTTTAAAACCTGATTTACGCCTATTATCTTAGTTTTCTTATTTTAAAAATATGTAATTTTTAATTTGTTCATGAAAAGCGTCTGTAAACGGATTCGAAACTACTGTATGAATAAACTTCGGCCCACGTGACATCCCTTCACGGTGAGTTTAACGCCGCTCTGCTATTGGTCAAACTGCATCAGCGGTGAGTTCTTAGATGAGTTCAACTGTCAACATTAAAGGGGTGGTCCAGAATGTTATTTTTAAGGCTTGGTTGTGTTAATAAGATGCAAAGCAATGTGTGCTCATGTTTAACTTGAAGGAAATCGTGTTATTTTTTCATAAATCTCACTTTGATTATACACAGCTACTCAGCTAACATGAAAACGACTGTCATATTTCCTAGTTTCTCTAAAAGGCCCACCCTCAAGTGACTCTGATTGGTCATCATCATAATATGCTGTGATTCGCCGATCGGCTCCACGTCACGCCCTGACAAGCACGCGCGTTTTGTGTAAACAGTCAGTCAGTCAGTCAGTCAACACGTGTCTGTAACGAGTGAAAATGGGATGCGGCTCCTTTAACTGTTTCTGTGCCTTTTAGTGTGTTTATGCGTGTATACGATGAAGTATCTGTAACACGAGAAGCGCATGTGCGCGGGAGAGATTTTTATTGTTCTTTTTCTCTCATGCTCGGATTAAGTTATTTTCTATGGTGACAGAATAAAGCACAAGATGTG